CTTTCTTCTAACTTTCTTTCTTATTTTTTCTCACTCTTTATTTATGTATTTTAACAATATTTATACAGGAATGTCTCATATAGCAGAACTATTTTAAAGAGAGCCCTATTAAATCCTTTTTTTCTTCCTCTCTCAAAGTTACAGAGTTTCTTACTCATACTTTCTTTCTTATTTTATTTGTTTTTTCTTTCTTTCTTTCACCCTCTCTCTTCCTCCCTTTTCTTTCCTCCCATTACTTTTTAAAATTCTTTTCGTTTTATCCTTTCCCTTTTTTATTTCGAAGCGCAGTTTAAATCTACCACATTTCCCTCCGCTCTCCTTTTCCTGTTGCGAAACGACAAAACTGAGCCGATAGACAAAGACCTTCGGAAACCACCAAACGACATCAATAGCCCAGAAGTTCCAAGATTTAAAATCTATCAGTCTCCTTTGTTTGTCTTCATATATAGTGATAAATGCTTCTAGATTACCTTTCCGTCTCACGGGAAGTTCAAAATGAAAATTAATAAATTCCAACAGAAAATTTATCACAAAAATCGACTGTAAATTGCCGGCAGGTTAAAAGAGTTTAAAGAGAAGTGTGATCCTCGACTGAGCTGAGTCTGCAATATCTTTAGCGATGATAACCCTTGTCTTCTTATCAAAAATGAGACAGCTTGTTGATTTGGATCTTACAAAGAGGAAGAGAGTGTGGTATAGTCAATGCAAATATGTCGACTTGCTCCACATGTATTAAGCTATCGGCACTTTTGAAAGCACTGAATAGGGGAAATGCCTGTCTCGTACGTAGGGATTAGAAGTGATTCGCGCTCTCCAAGTTAATAACGAGATTTAGTCTATTTGCCCATTAACAGAAATACTAAGTACTCCTGCCTCCGGCCTTGTTCATAGTTTTAAAACAAACATCAAGGCAGCTGAATTACCCTTTGAGGGAAAACGTCTAGCGTTTTCAAATGTATCGGAGATAGGAGGTCACGAAATGATTCTCTGGTTGAGAACGGCTTGTTTTTTTAAGGGAATGCACCAGCCTTCAGCAGTTTGCCTGATTTTAGTCTTGACTGTCCGTGTCAACTTTATCAGTTGAATGAAATTCCGTATGACAGACAAGCAAGAGCCGCCTATGACTGAATCTAACCCACATTCGTCATTGAATCTGAGTCAATCCAGAGATTGGTATTGCTTTATTAAATCTAAAATCAAGCTCACGAGAATTCATTGAAAAGATTTGTGAGTCCAATTAAGCCAGATCTTACTTATATTACTCAAATTTTCAAGCGGTTTTCGAGGTGATGAGCCAGACAATCAGAGCTTGTGAAACTGAAAAACCTTAGCTGAACCTTGCGTTTGATCTTTCCGACGTCTATCAAAGCTGTCTTTCATTTTGAGATAATTCCTTTAACAATAACAATCTCAAAGGATTTCGTTAATACCTAAAGTTTGACAAGTTGATCCCGTGTCCCGGGTACCGACTTCAAACAGTATTCGTCAAATATGAGCAAAATCTTAGTAATTTCGCTCTCAATTGTCACTCAAAGTTGCAAATAAAGTTGTCCACATAATCCCGTATCGTGTAAGCCTCGTCGGGAACCGCATTGTCTAAGGCAATGAGTTCAAAACCAATCACATTACCATACACTTGAAGATAGAAATCTGGACTTTCTTGTTAGCGCGACTTATGACGGCTCTCTTATAAACCGTCTTTCATAAAGGCTCAAAATTGCCGGCATGCTCTCAAAGGAGTAATTTTTGTTTTTCATATTCTCTCGGTTCGATTACTTGCCAACTAGCCGACGTGAGTCTTTGTCTAGTTCTGACATGCGGCGTTATTTTAACTACAAATGATTTACAGTTTTTAATGTTATCTCATTAAGCTAGATCAACGCAAAAATATTCATTTAATTTTCAGTTAGAAATCTCATTTTGACAGTTCATTTCCCCAGCGCGGACAACACTAGATTGGTTTTCGCAGCGGGCGACTGGATACGCGACACTTTGATTGACAGCTGGTAATCGATCGTGTGCGAAACGTGTGCAAAGATATGTCAAAATAAATAAATAAATGGTCGTGGTCGTTTTCACCCAAGCCCCGAAAATTGAAACTCTCTCGAGAACTTCCCTGGCGTTTGGGGGAACTCGTAAATATGATTTAAGGTGTCGCTTCCTTTGAGGCTGTCGAAGTGCCACTCCTAAAGTGATGGAATAGATCACGCGCTAATGACAGCAGCCTATGATCTGTCAATCACCCTTCTTAGCTCAAAAGGTCCTTCAAAATACCAAGAGATTCCGAATGACGGAGATCTGTTCCACCTATGATTCTATTTTGCCTGCAGCACTTTTCTCTTTGTAATATTGTTCGCGCGAGCTAGCGTAGTCAACTATCAGACTTTTGTAGGCTCATCTTTTTTTCCTCTAGTAGTTTTAATTTGGTTGATAAGGATTTTACCCGATATCACTGTACAAAGCACCAAAGAGGTTTGAAAAAGATCCCGATGCCGATAGCTAAGCGTTCCATATCGCGAGACGCAAAATACAACTAGAATTCGAAGTTGAAATGAGGAAAGCATGTTTTATTCATTATTTTGACCAAGTACGGTACTTTTTACATGTCGCGCGCTAATATTTTCAATCAAACACGAAGACCCTAAAACGAACAGAGTCTGTCTATTGACTTTGTCGGAAATACATTTGTACAAAAAGAGGCGAATTCACACATTCACAAAAAAAAGTCCACAAATTTTAGAGAATCTGAAACCCTTTTCACCTAATTGTATATATTTTCCCTCTTCGTTTGCGATATGACTTCAAATTACTATGGTTCTTGATTGCTTCTTTGGGGTTTATTCTTATCTATATATAACTATTAACTGTGTAAATTAGTTTCCAAAACTACTAAATCGTACATCTACTTGAAAGTTTCACTTTTTGAGCGTACCTACAATTCTCCATAATAGACTACACTTACTGTTCCAATGTTCTATTTTTATTCTAAATACAATAGGACATTTCCCTATTAATTCTATTCTATATATACAGTTTGAATATCTTGAATTAAGTTTAGTCTTTTCATTTGAATAATCGATGTGGGTCGTACGCGAGGCTATGAATAGGTCCGTAAGGAGACGTAGAATAACAGCTTATAGGAGCTGTAGGTGGACTTGGAATTACAGACGGCTTGTAGTAATATGGTCGATAGCGTGATGCATGAAGAGAAGCTTGGCTTCCTTGAAGCTTACAAGGGCAACCATGAACATTACAAGACGGGGCTGGTTGAGGAACCGGAGGACTGACCGAATTTCCAAGTTGTGTATGACTTCGAAGATGTTGGAAAAGATCTTCTGAAGTAGAGAAGGATTTCCCACAGTGTTTAGCTCCCGAAACCCAGTTACAGACGTAGGGGTGCGCTTCATCTTGAGTGCTCTTAAACATAGCTAGATTATGTGGATAGAAACACGAATAGGGAGTTGAAGATTGTTCTGGAGTCTTGATATTTTCACACTGAACACAATGAGGTCCACATTGTTGCACTGGGCTGGCAAGTCCATATGGACTCACTTGAGCCCTGCAGTTCGTACAGTTTGCATCCCGACAGATTGTTCGCTGAAGATAATCCACGTATGGAGTAGCCGGTGTATGTAGCTGTAACGGTCTCGATGAAGCCTGGGGTAGTGGAATCCCTTGAGCTGCAGCAGCAGCAGCACTTTCTCCGTGTGGGGAACAGAAAACACAGGCACATTGAGGATAGATCGGGGCTATACTCCCCAGTGATGTAGGTATTCCATGGGATTTAAGTGCCGACTGTTCTAGCCCCACCAGGGCCGGAGGATAAGGCAAAGACCCTTTAAATGGTATAAGAGTTGAAGGATGAGAGCAATTTCCACCGCATTCCTTGTGTAGTGACTGCAAGTTTTGTCCAGCTTGTCCTGACTCAACGACTAAGCCACAGCCACGACTTGCCTGAGAATGTACAAATCCGCAATGTCCTTCACCTTCGCTTACTGAGTACGGAAAGCCCGTTAATTTACTTGGTTCATCCTTAGTATCAGTTGGAGATGCACGGGAAGTATTTTCCTTACTTGGAGTGCGAAAACTTGCTTTCTCTGTCATTTCTTCTCCTTTCTCGCCGGTTTGTTTGTAAGGTTTGAACGAGGATCTTGTTTCGTCCGAGCTTATCTTGGTTGAAAGTGATGTGTTATCTCGCTCGGGTTCCGCTGTTTTTGCGGGTTCAGCTTTGCCGATGCTACTACACGTAGCCGCCAGAAGTGCCAAGGGTGACTTCTTTTGTTCATCGTCCTGTAAAGTACAAGAAGAGTTAGTATATCAAGTATTTGGGAAAAACAGCTCTGATCGGGTGCAGTGAGCGGTAGACTTGTGTGTACTTTGATAACACGGCCAAATCCAAAGCCTTCACGCCAGAAACTTCTAGTCAAGAATATATATTATTTCTACCTTCAGAGGAAGTGGCTGTATATAATCTTGATTACACTTGGAGACACTTTGGGTCAACATTTGTAAAGCCTCCAGTGGAACTCGATTTCCTTGAGAAAGATTTTCAGAATGCTCAACTGGTCGAAGACCGAAAGTCTTCGTAGGCATATCTGTGGAGAGTGTGTGTGTGTGCGGTCTCTCTACTGAAATATTAAATACTACACAATGAAAGGTGTAGGTAGATCCAGAAGAAACAAGCCGACTTCAGACAAAGCTTGCGCTCACTTCACTCATAAATGAATTGGCAAGATTAGAGGAGTTTTGCCGCCTTCCAATCAAATTGCTTCCTTAGCGATATTTCACTATTTGATTGGATAATCAGTGTGACAGGCTTGTCATACTTAGACACTGAAGTAATTGGCCATATAGGATATTGATAGATGATTTTGTAACCAACCAATCAGAGCACAGAAGTTAATTAAGTAGCGGATCACCTAAAGTGTCAACCTACGGGTCCTAATCAATCAAGCTGTCAATCACGTCAATTATTTTTGTCAGCTATTGTCTTGTGTTATGTGTTGAAGTGAGTGCAATGCTAGTTGTCATTTTGAATCGCGGTGTTGGTTGTATGTTTAAAAGGTTCCTTTTGTCGGCTTTGTGTACACGAAAGGATATCAAAGAAAGGAAAAAGCTGGTGGCTGGCTTCTCGAATCTTTGCCACTCATAGGTCCAGCGCAAAGACCTAAAATAGAAGTTCTCAGCAGAGCGGCTTTCAGCGCTGTGTTTGTTTTTCGGCGCTGTTTGATCTTATGACACTTGAGCATGTTATCTTATCATGCTATCCATCACTGAGAGAGCTACAGGCGCTTGCGGTATTAGAATCAGAGATTAGATAATGTGTTGACAAGTCTAATGGCCGTGACGGGCATGTCAAAGAGACACCAAAGGCCATTCGAAAACTATTAACTCAAGGCTCACTAGTCACTCGGGCGCCTGACAAATTCGTGTTAGTATTCATTGCTTTGCTGTGGAGTTATACGGCCGCTTATTACCTTAACTGTCCTGTGTTTTTGAGATCTCTTTAGCTTGATATATAAGCCGTCCGAATAATTAAAAGTCTAGCTTTATTTGCATAGTTAATTTTGAAATTATAGAGATGATTATTAGTGGTGATAAAGGCTGGAATGATGGCGTAGACCTCAAGAAAGTTTTCTGCTTTGCTAAGAGAATCATTCGTGATATCTGTTCTTAATCAAGCTCGCATTCTATTTCTAGAGTGTCATGGAAATGTTCAATACCCCCCTTTGTTTATTTTTGATTTTCATGTCAATGGATTGTAGACAACTAGTTGACAGAAGTTTGGCCTGAACGCCAGCTGGAGGAGAAAAGTTAGAATAGCTCTGTAAACAAAACCCAAGGACGGACAGTTTATCTACAACGAAAACAGATGAGTTATTGAGACAAAAAAGTGACTCTTCTTCTTGGTGTAGGAGGCATGGCTCATTTCGTCGTCCTTTTTCGATTCGAACGGCCATCTTTCGTTCGCGAGTTCCTTGACAGATAGGGAAGAATCGCGGGTCTGTTAAGGTAATAGTGTTATCGCGCGGTGGACAATCTACTTGCGGTCGCCTTTGAATAATACGTGTTATTATTTCGAAGTTATACATTGAAGTGAGGAAAGGACTAACAATGTAAACAAAAATGCTGTGTAATTTGTTTTTCACGGTCCCATCTCATCCCGTTTTTGGCAGGTTATCTAAAGCAATCAAAAACAAACAATGAGCGGCCGCCGTGAATGTCAAATATCCCATCCGACTGTCAGTTCTTATCTTGTCATTTCATTAAGCTAGCTTTCATTACGGCCCAGTTGTCAAGTTGACATACGCGGGATGGACTTCAAAGGAAGAGCCTCGCTAAGCCGAATCTCAACCCACTTTAACCAATCCCTCTAAGATCATCTTGAAGAACCTTGGCTCATACGATCACACGAACGGCCTATCACACATTTCTTTATCAAACAAACAGACATAATAGAAAGTAATCTGCAGCACTAAGGACAGCCGCGTGCTGAATAATTCATTCTTGAACATGGGAGGCCATCAGTCTAAAAACACCATTAGTTCTAGCCAAGAATAAATACCTCATTAGCGCGCTGAGACGTCAATCAAGTAGCTGTCGGTCGATCGTCTTTTATATGAGTGGGCAGCGCTTATTAATCGGCTGAACTCAACTTCAAAAAGCGCCGCTCATGTCAAACCTGTCAACGCTCGGAAACATCGCTCTAATTCAAGTACCTTGTCTGCCAACGACGATATGAGTTAACATTGACGTGATGTGCTATCGACTGATAGGCGCCAACTCGACTCAAAGCGATCTGCACGGCAAGTTTTTTCATAAAAGAAACCTATGAAATAAAGCCTGGCTCCTTCGTGACGCGTTCTTGCTTTTTAAGTGTTTTGTTTAAGCCTTTTTGAAATGTAAAGACCGAGGTGGCTTTGAATACCTTCCATTGTGATAAAGTGAAGATTTGTATTGCAGCATTGTAGTTTAGTTGACACGACAAAGAAGCATCTATTCAGATACAAACTGACCTCTTATAACAGTATTTATCTCCATCGTTACTAAACCTTTCACGAATTGATTTACCTTGTTTCTACGGTTTGTATGTACAAGGTTTTGTACAATTCTTAGATTTAAAACAATAAAAAATCGACATTTCCGGTTGTCTTTGCCAGTAAATCCATATTCAAAAATATTATCCTTACGTAACTGAATTGGTTTTATACAAACTATTTTTTTCTTATTCTTCTTATAGAACTCTCTCGAAAACTCCAAGAAATTTGAATCTCAAAAATCAAGTCCTCTTAAACCAAATCTATTCACTAAATCTATTTATCCCTTTAACTTCATTTTGTATTTCTTGAGGTGTCTGTAAGAGAGAATGTTTTGGGATCCATTGGTCAATATTGTTTTCGGGTGTTTGGAGTTTGTTGGTAGAACGAGATAAGATACTCTTTGCATTAACTAGTGTCGCGTCTTCTTTTTGATCGAATTTAGGGCGACTATCGCTCCTGCATTTATTCTATATATTCCCATATCCTATTTTCATTGCCATTTTCGTCTCATCTTTCGGTTTTAAACATCCAATTTTTCAATCTCGTTTGTTTAGACTATGAAATGTTGAAAAAATTCGAATCTTTTTTTCATCAGAATTCACAACTCCTTCCTTTCTTGCCTACGCTTTCTATTGAATTCTTTTTGGTTCGATCTCTAAGACCTTAAGATTATTTACTGGAAATTCGTTCACTTTTTCACCAGACGTATGATATATAGCTAACTGCGTTTTAGTCCCTAGATCAATCTCCAAAAAAAAGTCAATCAGTTTTACCCTTTGTGGCGGCAAAGCGAAAGATCTCTACCACCTAATCACTTGTATTTTCCTTTCAGTATTGAAAAATGAAATTAAGATTGAAGAAGTAAATAGTACGCTTAATAATCAGAGGAAAATCATTTTGAGTAATAACAGAGGATTCATACAAGTGATTGATATGCGATGGTTTAATGGCTCGTGTTATTTATCAGGTTTAAGAAAGCGAAAGTACCGCACAAGAAAACGCGTTGTTTTTAATTCGGCGGTTGCTTGACAAGCTGTCAACTCAAAAGAAAATTCATAAATACTGCCCTGTTTGTGCATTGTATTAGTATCTCTATCCAACAGAGAGGAGCTGTGAGCTTTTTTTCCTTTTTATGAAGGTAGCGGTTTGCCGCCGTTTCATCATCGGGCTTGTCAATTTGGTCACGCGATTCCGACAAATTTTCTAATAATCCCAGCAGTTGTTCAAGTATATTGACACTTCGAGTCTAAAGTAGCTGTCATTTGGAGACTATGTCTCTTCCGTCCTACCCGCCAGTATATCTTATATCCTCAGAGAGAGGGAATCACAAAGCATAAATACTTCCTTGGTGTGCGTTTGGGTTTTCCATGTGCATGTTTAATGCTCTCTCGCTGCGCCATTTCTTAACTTCGTGAAGTTCCTTTGAAATAAATGTATATTAACACTTGTCTAAGAGTTCAAAGAACTGTGCTGTCAATGATAGTAACGATTTGGCGCCTTTTGTGAAAACAAGTTTGAATGCAGTATCGTGTTGTGCGAACGAATAAAGACGAGGCGACTGTACATTGTTAACAAATAAAGCCTTTAGAGTTCGGTTAATTGTCCAGTCAGATCATTGATTTTTATTACTTACTATAGGTACCTCTTGTTTCCGATCATAGATATTCAGCCTAACCTCTTCGTATCGACCAGGTCGATTTAACACCAAACAGACCGACAGTGCTCTAATTTACCACTACCTCTTAAAAGAAGCTACAAGATATCTAAGTAGGTTCAGGTATTAAATTCTTATTGCCCATATGGATTGTTTTATGAAAGCAGCTCGGTCAAATTGCTTCCGTTTGTTTGATCACTAAGTATATGAGTGGGGTGGGCACAGTGAGAAGATTGCCTTGTGGAACATATGAAAAAGGATCACACTTGGGTAGAGTCGATTTCAAAGGAGGTGCACGACATGATGTCAACCCACGAATCGACTGTATTGAAACAGGTGTTGAACAGCGCTGAAGTGATGATAATGCGCTCTGTCAAAGATTAGGCTTCAAAAACCAGTTTCTTTCAAGCCCGCCTTCAAATAGAAGAAATTGGACTATTGTATGTGACAATATGCTTTCTATTTCTATAGTAATCTTGACTTCAGGGCATAGATGCAATCTAATATTCGTGCTATGAAACGAGTTACGATGAAGCTCATTTCAGTTAAAGGAAGCAACTTTTCATAGGGTACTATCAGTTATCAACCTTGACTTTTAACTTATCAACCAATTTTTTATCAATTTAATATATATATAGATATGACTCAGTACATTATTACAGCCCTCAGTGTTTTCTCGCTTGTTGTTGGTCAAACGTTTTATCGATTTTTATACTAAAAATAACATAATATTTCAAAAGAAATATTCTATGTTCAAACAATTTTTTATCAATTTTAAAATATATGATACCTAGTCCCGCCTTACAGCCCTATTTTCTCGCTTGTTGTTGGTCAAACGTTTTATCGATTTTTATACTAAAAATAACATAAAATTTCAAAAGAAATGTTCAGTGTTCAAACAATTTTTTATCAATTTTAAAATATATACCTAGTCCCGCCTTACAGCCCTATTTTCTCGCTTGTTGTTGGTCAAACGTTATATCGAT